CTTCCACCTCAGCCTTCTGAGTAGCTTGGACTGCAGGTGCCTGCCACCATGCTCAGCTTCTTGAAGGATATTTTTGCTAAATATGAATTCTGGCTTGGCAGTTCTTTTCTTTCAGCACTTTGAAAAATGGGCTACTTCCTTTTGGCCTCCATGGTTTCTATGAGAAATTTGCTGTCATTTGAATTGTTTTCCCCCTGTAGGTAAGGTATTATTTTTCTCTTGTGGCTTTCGAGATATTTTCCTTGTCTTTAGTTTTCTTAAGTTTGGCTGTTATGTGTGCTAGCATGGGTTTCTTTGGATTTATCCTTTCTGGGATTTGTTCAGTTTCTTGAATCTGTAGGTTTATGTTTTTTGCACAGTTTGGGAAATATTCATATATTATTTCTTTGAATACTTTTTCAGCCCTGCCCTCTTTCTCTTGTCCTCTAGGACTCCAGTAACATGAATGTTAGATCATTTATTATAGTCTCACAGGTCCCTGAGGCTCTGTGCAATATTTTTCAATCTAGTTACTCTCACATTGTTCAGATTGGATAATTTCTATGTTCTGTCTTCGTGTTTACTGATTCATTCTTCTCTCCCCTCCATTTTGCTGTTGAGTCCATCCATCGAGTTTTTTTACTTCAGTTATTTTTTAATTCTAAAATTTCTGTTTTTTAAAATATCTTCTGTTTCTTTGCTGAGACTTTTTATTTTCATTTTTTAAAGTGTGTTTGTAATTGGTTGTTGAAACATTTTTATGATGGCTGCTTTAAAGTCTTTGTCAGATAATTCTAACATCTCTGTCATTTTGGTGTTGGTATCAGTTGATATCTCTTCTCATTCAAGTTGAGACTTTACTGGTTCTTAGTATGCCGTGATTTTCTGTTGAAACTTGGACATTTGAATATTATGTTTTGCAATCTGGATCTTATTTAAATCTTGTTTTAGCTGGCCTCTGTTGACACCATTTTGGCAGGGGACATGGGGATACTGTCTCATTACTGCCAGATAGGAATAAAAGTCCAGGTTCCCCATGTGGCCTTTGTTGACACCCTGGGTGAAAGGAGCTGCTCATTATTGCTGGGTAGAGATGGGAATTCTGTCTCCCCAATGACGCAGTGGGAGGGGATGGCTCTTTTTACTGCCCTGTAGCTCCCTGGTTGGCCTTCTCTAATGCTACCCTAGCAGGAGGGGGGTGGAGGATGGGACACCTTATTACTGCAGGGCAAGGGTAGAACTCTAGGCTCTTCACTGGCCTTTGCTGGCAGATGTCTGATGGCTGCAGTTTTTTCTGTGGTGTTTAGCTGGAGTAGAGCAGTTTTTATTTAAAAATTTTCTGTTTTTCTGTGCTGTACCTTTCTTAGTTCTTTGACTAGAGAGAGAAGGTTTCTTATTGTTGTGGCTTTTTTTTTTTTTTTGGTCGGTGCCCATTGGCATTTCTTACTATCTTTTCTAATACCAAGTCTGGGATATATGAGGCAAAAAGAAAACTTAGTGAACTCACAACTGTGTCATTCCTCAGGTCCCAAGATCCCTAGCCAATCTGCCTTCTCTCACCTTTCAGAATCTTCTTACATTTATTTTCTATATTATATCTAGAGTTTTTAGTTGTATTTAGTGGGAGGAGTAGAGAAAAGTACTTCTGCACCATCTTTCCAGAAGCAGAAGTTCATTCTTTTTTGAGCAGTGGTCAGATTTCTTGTTTGAGTCTTATAAGAGCTCATAACCTGAATTCACCAACGTCAAATTCCCATAAAGATGAGCCCCTCCTTTTTTGTATTAAATTGGTTTTTTTTTATTTTTTGGAATACAAAGTACATTTTCACAAAGGAAAAAAGTGTTAAGGGTGTTATCTCCATTCTGAGACTCTTCCATGAGCAGTGTAAACTCTCTCAACCCCTCAGGCATTCCCACACATGAACACATACACATGAACACAAGTAACAGTTAGTATCACAGTGTCACCTTCATTTAAGCATAGCAAATATTTTTACTTTATTTATTTATTTTTCTTTTTGGTAGAGACAGAGTCCCACTCTTGCTCAGGCTGGTCTGGAACTCCTGAGCTCAAGCAATCCTGCCGCCTGGGCCTCCCAGAGTGCTAGGATTACAGGCATGAGACACCATGCCTGGCCATGGCAGATATTTTTAAAGATTTTTAAAAATGCATTGTGGGTTTTACTAGGTTGCAGTACTAGTAACTTGATAGAATTGAAAAAAAGTGAGAGTTTTTATTTATCTGGAATGCTTATGTTTGAGGAAAAGCAGGTTTGATCTCCAAGGGGTAAGATGGGAGAAGTAGAGAGTCTGGAGAGGACTTTGGGATCCTTTAGAGCAAGGGTCCACAACCTCTGGTGAGTTGTATAATTATTTCATTATATATTACAATGTAATAATAATATAAATGAAGTGCACAATAAATCTAATGCGCTTGAATCAACCTGGAACCATCCCCCACCTCCCCGGTCTGTGGAAAAATTGTCTTCCATGAAAACAGTCCCTGGTGCCAAAAAGGTTGGGGACCTCTGCTTTAGAGAGCGGTAGAACTGGTTCTTCTGATTACCATCACTTGGCATTGTCACCATTTTCCTTTTTATCAGTTTAGCACAATACCTAGCGTGCATGGGTCTCAGCTTCATGAGGACAGCACTAGAGAGGGTGTTTTGGGGTTGACAGTTGGAATAAATGCATACAGCTTTCCTTTAGAAGAGCATATAATTTACTCAACCCCTCAAAAAATACCTTTATTATTTTGCTTTTGGGTGTTTTTGTCCTGTCTCTCTGACTCTTTTGGTATCTCATTGATTCATTGTCTTTTTTTTTTTTTTTGCCTCCGTGTCTTCATATCTTGGCTTAAGAGTCTTGTTAGAGTTATTGTCTAGACCCTAAGGCCTGGTCTCAAATTAATCTTGTAGTCTCCCCCATATCTGTCAGCCCTATAACTCTTTTTTTTATAAAAGTTTTAAAATTAAATATTTGAAACATTAACAAAAATATAGAAGATAGTACAATTAACCTCCCTGATTCCCTTTCTGGTGCTAGAGGTCTCAGCATTGGCCAAGTGGCCGGTGTAAGAGCCCACAGTGCCTTCTGGCAGTTGGCCTGGCCCTGCCATTGATCCTGGGAACTTAGTAGCTTTTGTGTATGGATATATTTTTCCTGCGGCTTATCACATGTTTACTCCCCAATAGCAGGTGTAGGGAGATGGGTCAAATGGATTGTATAGGGTCTGTTGGCTGGTAGCCTAGTTTTTCTTTTTACTCTCTCTGTGTTTTTATATCACTGCAGTTTCTACATTCATACAATGGGAATAATTATTCATTCATGCATCCATTCCAGACATGATTTTTATTCTTAGAACTTACACTTAGGTAGTAGAAATGCTAAATCAGTAAAATAGAGAACAAAGAGGTAGGTTTCCTAGGAATTTTTTGTTTTGTTTTGTTTTGTTTTTCGAGGCAGGGTCTCACTTTGTTGCCTATGCTAGAGTGCAGTGGCATCATCATAGCTCACTGCCCCCTCAAACTCCTGGGGTCAAGTGATCCTCTTGACTCAGCCTCCCGAGTGCTGGGACTACAAGCAAGCACCACCATGCCTGGCTAATTTTTAAATTTTTTTGTAGAGACAGGGTCTCGCTATGTTGCTCAGGCTGGTCTCAAACTCCTGGGCTCAAGCAGTCCTCCTACCTCGGCCTCCCAAAGTGCTAGGCTTACAGGCATGAGCCACTGTGTGCATCCAGTTTCCTACGAATTTAAAAGAGGGAGAAAGTACTTCCAGCTGGGCAAGTCTGGGAAGGTTTCATGTAACAGGCAGATTTGAGACAGGTTTTGATTTGGATTTGGATATGGGGAGATCAGAGGAGTGGCATTGAGACACAGGCGAAGAATGCACAGAGGCACAGTGGTGAAGAGTAGTGTGCATCCTGTGGGCTCCTGTTTTTGAAATGAAAAAGAATTGAGATACTGAATAAGGTTGCATCCCTAGGACCTTGGGAAGAAAGGTTCATTGGTATACCGATTAACATCCTGTCAACAGGATCTGTGAAACAGGATGTGTAGACACATGGAAAGACCCATTTAACTGGTAATGGCCACCTCACTAATCCCTAGTTGCAGAGCTGCCACACATAGATGTGCAGGATATGCCCTGGACAAGCACCCTGAGAAGTTAACAGATGGAGCTAAAACCCAGCCAGGCTCTGCCAGCAGAACTGGTGCAGGCCAGCTTTCACCCTGAGAGGCGCCTTTTTTCTAATTGGCCAAAGGCACCAAGAGGGCCCAGATCTGTTTCTTTTTGTTTCTTAGTGGTGGTCACATATTATGGCCAAATATTTAGTATCTTAGTGTAATATAATTTGCTAAATGATCTCCTTTAGCCATCCGTAGGGACTCTCATCATTTTGAAGACTGGCTCTGTCTCATACATTTGCAAAAATCCAGGAGAACATGCTAAGTTCCATTTTTGCCTTCTGTTCTCCTTGTCACCAGCATTAGGTTAGATGTTCACAATCCCTCTACCCTCCTCCATTTCCCTGTAAGTGAGGATATGGCAACTAAACTGCTTAGTGCCTACCTTCCTGGGTAACCTGAAATGCATGGGTCTCTGGACCCCAATCCTTGCTGCTTCGGTGTCAGGTGCTTCTTATCTCTTCAGGGCTATCTTGCTCTGTGTCCTGCTACCTGCTGTTACTGCTATAGTTCCTGAGGCCTTCTGGTCCTGCTTCCTTACTTCTCTATTCCTGTTTCCCTCATCCTAGTTGGCTTAATTCTGGAAAGGGAAAGATTAATTAGAAAGAAAGAAAAGGGGGATTACAGATTCAGAAGAGACAGGGAGGATAATGAAGGAAGGAAAAGTGGGAATGATATAGCAGTAGAGGGTGGGGAAATAATAATAAAAGCAACACTTGCAATTATAGTGGGGGTGAGGGTGAAACAACCTGGAGCGGACATTTCGAGGGCGGGGGTGTTTCTAGCACTGTCATCTAGCCCTCAGTAACAAGGTGACCTTGCATTCCTCAGGTGTCCTCATGACTTCTCTTGTGGATCATGTCCATGATCTTTTTTGCCTGTGTGGTACGGGTGAGGGATGGACTGCCCCTCTCAGCCTCTACTGACTTTTACCACACCCAAGATTTTCTGGAATGCAGGAGACAGCTCAAGACTTTAGGCTTGCGACTGGCCCAGTATCCAGGTCGAGGTTCTGCAGAAGGCCGTGACTTCAGTATACAGTAAGTGAGCATATTCATTTTTTTAGAACATCAGCAAAATTTGGGTTACTTTTAACCACATGTAGAGGTAACATTATGCTGATCACATTGTGTGATAAAAGTAGATCTGGCATCTGACTGCAGTCTGAGGTTGTGTGTGTTTATGGCAATAGAATCATGGATGAAGTGGATTTCCTTAGAGCCTCAAGCATTGCTGCTCCAACTCCTAAGTTCTGTTAGGGCAGTGCTCACGAGCACCAGGAGACATGGGTTCAACCAGTTTTCGTGCCTTCAGTTTCGTAGTTTTTTCTGCACTTAGATGCAGGGAAGAAAAACGGGTGAGGGAAGGAGGAGCTACTAGATTAAAATGTTGGGGTGGGAAAAGGATGAGAGTAAGAAAGTTAAGAAAATAAGAAAAAAGACTTCATTTATGGCTCTTCAGCTTTTGCTTTTTAATTTCTCACTTTTAAATTTTTAAATTTTTATTACATGACCGGAGTAGGGGAGTGAAAAATGAGTGAGAGTAGGTCTCTCCTTTCAAGGGGCTTAAAGTCTGATGAGGGAAGAAGAGAAACATATAACTGAATATAATGTAGTGGGGAAAATGCTCCAGTGGAAGTAGGAATCAAGCTGTTATAATCATAGTTATAATAGCTAATATTATTGAGTGCTTTCTATATGCCAGGCACTATTCTATGGGTTATGTGGCTTATGAGGTAGGTAATAGTATTACACCTGTTTCACAGAGGAGGAAACTGAGGTTAAGCATCTTAACCAAGTTTATATCATTAGTAAGTGGTAGCAGACCCAGGATTTGAATGCAGGCAGTTAGGCACCAGGTCTGCTCCTTATGTGTAAAATCATTTTCTATTCTAGGACTTAAGAGTAAGAAGCTTATCATTCTATGGACAAATCAGGGGCAAGGCAGATTTTCAAATATCAAAATGGCTTGTCATATATTTTACATCTGTGTTTTCTAGCATTTAGACCTTCACTTATCAAGTCCTTTTGCTCTCCTTGAATAGTAAATTTTTAGTTGACCTGATAAGTTGAGGTTCTTTTAGGGGAATCTAGTCTCGAAATTATAAAAACAAAAGGAAAAGTCCAAACCTGACACCATGCTGGGTGGTGTGAGGTAGAGAAGGGCCGTGTCCTGAAGGGGGTGCCGGATGGTAGGCACATATAGCTGTCACCCTGTGGTGTGGGCTCTGGGTGTTCAGGAGCAAAAGCTGAGTTGCATCTGCCCACATTTGCAACTGCTTTCTCTTAGTGTCTGAACCCGCCCCCTTGATGGTCTTTTCCTCACTGTGCTGTGATGAATGAATTTGTGCTGTACCTCAAATAGGAAACCTTTTCTCATTAAAGGCTATTTTTCAAAGAAAAAAGAAGTCTAAGACTTCAGAATTATATCTCAGATATTCAGTAGTTTTTTGAAAAAGAAATATGAAATGTTCTACTCACTTGTAATTTGAATGAGATATTTACCATATTTTCACAGAGGAGACTGAGACTTTCGTTTCTTATAGGTGAGCGGTACCATAGCTTTTTATAGTTAAGGAGCTGTGTTAATTTCCTAGGGCTTCCATAACAAATTACCACAAACTGGCTCTAAACAACAGAAATTTATTCTTTCACAGTTCTGAAGGCCAGAAGTCTGAAATCTAGGCAGGGCCACGCTCCCTCTACAAGCTTTAAGGAAGAATCCTTCCCGTACCTCTACTACCTCCTGGTGGTCATTGGTTTGTAGATGCATTACTCCAACCTCTGCCTCCATGGTCACATGGCCACTACCATCTCTCTATCTCTTTGTCCAAATTTCCCTCTTATAAGGATGCCAGTCATTAGGTGAGGGCCCGCCCTGATCCAGTATTACCTCATTTTATCTTGGTTATATCTGCACTCTATTTCCAAATAAAGTCACATTTATAGGTACTGGGAGTTAGGACTTCAACAAAACTTTTTTGAGGTACATATTCAACCCACAACAGGGGTCCTTTTTCATATAGAAGCACTTCCATCCTAGAGTGGCCTAGGCTCTTCTGAAGGATTCTTTTCATAAGGAAGAGAGTCATCCTTTTTTTAAGTTGAAAAAGTTTTTATATAGAGAATTCCAGTTACAAAAAGGTGGTAGAACAATGTAACCTAAAAACCCTGCTGCCTGAAACACCCAGAAATGAGGGTAAATATATACAAAAAAATATTTTAAATGTAAAGTTGAGCTTGAAAGAAAGAAATTCCAAGCTGCCAGAAATGAAGAGGGAGCAGAATATTAAGGTGGTGAGTGTGCGAGCTGACACCAAGGATCCTAGGTGATCAGTCACAGTGAACTTGAGGCTTGGTCTGGGCTTATGTAGGGTTGGGTACCATAGCAAGACCCTTGCATAAAGGGAAGATTCTTATCAGGCTACAACCCTAATGAAATAATAATAGGTGAGAAGTAGTCTGGCCACCAATATAAATAGAGACTTGGCTTTGGATAGGAATGAAAAATAAAATTTCACCTAAGAAATTGAGACAATGTTCTTCTGGTGCCTCACGAAGGGCTGGAGTTTTGAGTTTATATTCCCCAAGGTCTAGAAATTCCTAAGTCAAGGTTCAAACATCAATATTGGTCCCAGACTGATAACACTGCTGGGGTAGCTGGCCAATGCAAATGCAGAACCACTCTGGAAGAAGTGTGCCACAACTCTGGCTCAGGGGATTCTTAAAGAAAAAGTCCCACCATGATAAGCTCAGCAAAAAATGCCAAAACTTGAGAGGAGATATTCCACAGGGAGTGGAATCAGTAGGCACCACAGATAGGTAAACTAGAGCCCCTCCACCCTGAGCTCGAAATGATAGTGTGACAGTCCAAAAGGGGGTAGAAGAAGAAAGAAAAGCCCTATATTTATTTTGAGACCAGAATAACCTTAATAGCACAACTAGATGAAGACAGTATAGGAAAGGAAAATTACAGGCCAGTCTTATTTTGCATAGACACAAAAGTCCTAAATAAAACATTAGCAAACCAAATCTAGTAGTTGTTTGTGTATGAATATATCCAACCAGGGTTATATCCAACAAGGGTTTATTTTAGGATGCCAGGATGACTTAACATTAGAAAATCTATTGATGTGGATTAAAGAAGAAAAACATTTTTCTCAATAGATGCAGAGAAGTCTGAGGCTAATTTCTCCTAATAGAACATGCATGAATAAGTGACAGTGATCACATACTGTCAGTGACTAATACTACTCGTCATTTTAAAGGAAGTGTAAGAAAGACACAGTCTCAGGAATAGGTCTAGCTAAAGAGACAATATATATGCAGCAAACAGCTACAGGACTGTCTAGGCCAACCAAGCATAGAATTGAGGCAAGGTTGTGTGTGGGTGTGGGATGGGAACGCATGGTTCTGTTTCTTGGTAATGCAGATGTCACCTTTTTGTTTCAGTTTTTCTTCTTCGGGGGATGTGGCCTGCATGGCTATCTGCTCCCACCAGTGTCCAGCAGCCATGGCCTTCTGCTTCCTGGAGACCCTGTGGTGGGAATTCACAGCTTCTTATGACACCACCTGCATTGGTCTAGCCTCCAGGCCATATGCTTTTCTCGAGTTTGGTTTGTAACCTTTTGTATTTGTTGTTTTCTCCTGTGGTGTTGTATGTGTAGAACTTACAGTTTAGGTTTGGCTTTTACCATCAGGAGAATCACTGGAGTTGCAATAACATGTCAGTAAAGAACACCCTTGTACCATGGGATTTCACAGCAGTTGAAGTGGCCTGAAAGCTTTGAGGTTTCACACTCTGGCTTTTCATCTCTCCAGAGCCTGGGGGCAGGGTGGAAGAAGGGTGAAAGCTGGGTAGACTATTCTCCACAGCCCTCTGAAGCTGGGTCAGCAAACTGTGGCCCAGAGGCCAGCTACCTGTTTTTGTAAATAAAGTAGAACACGGCCATGCCCATTGTTTTACATGTTGTCTGTGGCTGCTTTTGCTCTATGACAGCAGAGTTGAGTTGTTGTAACAGAGACCATGTGGCCCACCAGCCTAAAATATTTACTATCTGGGTGGCACTTTAAGAAAATTTTGCTGACCTTTGCTCTAGAGCAGTACTACTCAAAGGATGTTCTTCCATCATGAGGTAAGTGCAGAAAATAAGTGCTCAGAAATTCTTATAATAATTTTACATTCCTGCAATCATTTTTTATTTTATTTTATCAAAGTGTAGGTCTGTAGTGGTTTGGAAATATGAAAAACTGGTCCTTCACTCAGAGGTTTGCTCTGGAAAAGGATACATGTTTTCTAGGTTCTAGCTACTCTAGAGGCTGAGGCAGGAGGGTCACTTCAGCCCAGGAGTTTGAGGTTGCAGTGTGCCATGACTGTGTCACTGCACTCCAGCCTGGGTGACAGTGCGAGACTCTGTCTCTTAAAGAAAGGCCTTGTGGAGGCTCAGGGGCTTTGGAATACAGCATGGTAATCATAGTGTCTGCTCTGTTTTTGTTCATTTTGAGCTCTTGGGAGAATGGGAGTAGAGGTGGGAGTTGGGGGACATTCTGTGGTCTCTGCATAAACAGCTGCTGTCTCTATGATGTTCTTAAAGAAGGATCTGGCAACATTTGGTACAAATGATCAGGTGCAGGACCAGCACCTGTAATTGTTGCCACTTAGGCTTTCTGGCTACTTCTGCCATAGCCCTCACATTCCCCCATATGGTCTACTGTCTGGCTCATCAGGAATGGGGCTAATACTCTCTTTTGGCGTCACCTGAAGGTGCTGGGGAACTCCCTGGTATGCAGGCCCCAGCCTAGTAGACCTATGATAGACTGAGGGTTCTTCCCCTGGATCTCCCTGTGAGGCCTTGGTCAAACTGGTACTCTCAGCCCCACTTCTTCCTATGGAGAGGGCACGCTAGCCCAAAACAGACCATAGCTGCAGCATCCCTTGGCTGCCAGTCACTTTGGGGCCGGGTGGATCTGTGTTCTTCTGCCCCCTCATCTCTGCACGTATTCCTTCTAAAGCAGTGCACTTGATCTGACAGGAGACCCTTGCTGAGCATCCTGTTTGCTCATTACTGAGTGGGAGTAGAATGAGTCAAAGAAAGCTGATATTAGAGTTATGTATCATTTTGCTTTGCCAATATGTATGAAACTTCACTTCAAAAGCTTAAGATTTGGTAATGGATTAATATAACATAAATTAAAGAATTAAAACCAATACCTTTCAAATATATAATCCTAGTTTGTATGACTTATTTGTATTCATTTGTAATTTTTTTCAAACAAGCTTTTTTGAGATAATCAGGCCAGTAATAACTGTCCCCATTTTTCAAGCTTGGAAATATCCTGAGAATTGCCTAAGATTATACTATCAGAAGTGATTGAGCTGAGATTCAAGCCCCTTTCCCCAAACTTGCTCATTACTGGGGTCTGTGATGCATTATTGCCTTCTCTGCAGGCAATCACATTTTAATCACTCTGCTTTGAAGAGATTGATCAGACTGGTATTCATATGTGGTGATCATTTGACCTTGGTGTATAACTTGACACTCTTCAGAATCTGGCCAACTTACTTTCTTAGAAATGTGAAGTTGGGCAGGGTGTGGTGACTCACGCCTGTAATCCCAGCATTTTGGGAGGCTAAGGTGGGAGGATCACTTGAGACCTGGGAATTCAAGACCAGCCTGGGCAACATATGAGAGAGCCCATCTTTACAAAAAATAAAATTAGCCTGGCGTGGTGGTGCACGCCTGTAATCCCAGCTACTCTAGAGGCTGAGGCAGAAGGATCACTTCAGCCCCTGCACTCCAGCCTGGGTGACAGCGCAAGACTCTGTCTCTTAAAAAAAAAAATGTGACCTTTGTTTTGTACATACTGTCTTATAGCATCCATTCTGACGAAAATGCTCAACTTGGGTTGCTTTCTTTTGCAGACAGCATCATTCAGAAGATAAAGTGGCATTTTAACTATGTAAGTTCCTCTCAGATGAAGAGCAGCTTGGAAAAAATTCAGGAGGAGCTCGAATTCCAGCCTCCAGTGGTTCTCACTGTGGAGGACACAGATGTGGCAAATGGGATGATGAACGGTCACCTACCAATGCACTTGGAGCGTGGTAAGTGTCTTGTTCTCTGATGTTGATGAATATGCAGTGATGTTATGCATTTTGAGTGGAAGTTGATTTTTTACTAGAAAGATATTTTGGGGAGGGTATAAAATATGGACTGATTGATCCTGTTTCCAGGTGACTGTTATAAAAAACTTGACTATTATGACAGTGAGTTGGTTTGAGGGGAGGCTATTCTTATGATGAAATTCAGGAGTTGAAGAGTGACTTGGCAGGTTGTTTTCATAACCAAAGTGAAGTTTACAAGTTTAAATGTCGAAAAGGAGATTCATTCTCTTTTGTTGGAAGTCACCTATTGAACTGTACGTACTCGTATATTTTATAGATAGATATTTTTGACAATGAATCCTTATCATATCACTTAGTGAAACATTGCACATCTCCACAGAGAAATCCCTTCCCCCACTTTGGAGGGAGGGCTGTGGGGATGAGGGTGTTTGGGCAGGGTCCAGAGCCAAGGCTAGTACTCTCACTATCTGGCTCTCCATGAGACCTGGGAGCTGCCTCTGTCCCTGTGTATGTCAGAGTCCTCACCTGAAAAATGAGGTGTTAATGAAGGTGATCACTGTGCCCTGGCATTCCATGACTTTGTCTGACATTAACACTATTAGCCACTCAATGCTGTAGCACATAATGAAGCATGATTTTTTACATTCCTTGTTTACAAATACCTACAGTTAAACTAATAATTTAATTAAAGGGGATATTTACATTCTAAGAATTCTGTAGTGGCATAAGAACTGAATCTTTCTCTGAAAGATAGAGCTGTCTGCACTATAACTATCTAATTATTTTGTTTTTAACTGTTTTTGTACTAAACTCTTTACTTGAATTTTAAAAGTAGTGTTTTAAAAATGTTCCTGTTTTTGGCTTAATTTGTGTTTTGGTTTAATCTGTTTCAACCAATAAATTCCTGGTTTGGTTCTTGTGCCAATCAATAAGTTTTAATTTATGTTGAGAGTAAACTTAATTTTGTCGAAGGAAGACTGGGTAATTGAACCCCAAGCTTCTCCCTTGCCATATATGAATACAGGCATAACTTTGTAATATATGTTTTGTTTTTTAAACACTTAGACAAGAGGAACAAATCCACAAAGTGTCAACTTGCCCATCTTTCTAGAACATTTTACTGTGGTTTGACTCACCCTATTGTCCTGAAGCTAGAATCTTTACAGGTAGAATATTCTGTTCTAACAGAATTTTGAATTGCTCAGTGGAAGCTCTAATGCACTAACAGTAGGCTTCAGTTGGATTGTGGCTAGGTATTTGTGTGTGTGCATGTGCGTGTGTGTTTGTGTGTGAAATGTAAGGGCAAGAAAGGATGATTTGAAAAGAGTATAGCAAGAGAATGGGTGAGACATCTTTTAATTTTGTGAGCCAGAATCAATTTCAGCACTTATTTTTAAAGAGAGAATGAGCATTTGTTTTAATTGTAGTTCTAGAAACAGCCTGTAGCCTAAATAACCAGTGTTTTCCTCCTCTTCCCAATTATTTTAGAATTTTAAAAATTACATTTGCTGCGAATTGCTCTAGAAGCACATATGACACTGTATATTGTCCTTGTTAGAAAAAGAGTGGATTGTTTAACAAGCTGAGGGTTGAGGAGTATAATAGAAATGCTTTCAGAATTTGACAGTCAATTTACAAATAAAGCCATGGTCCTCTCTGGTGGCATAAGAAATTATTTTAAATCAGGATTTCTCAACCTAAGCCCTGTTGACATTTTTGCACTGGATAATTCTTTATTGTGGGGGGCTATCCTGTGCATTTTAGAATGTTGAGAAGCATTCCTGGCCTCTCCCCACTAGATGCCAGTAGCACCCTGTCTTTAGTTTTGACTACCAAAAATGTTTCCAGACATTGCCAAATACCATTTGGTGCGGTGGGGCTGACTGAGAACAACTGCTTTAGATAGAATGGAAATTAAGCACTTGAAAAACCTTTGCTTGCTCAGAGAAGGGCCTCTTTCTGGAAGAAACTCACCTCAGATTCCCACATCCATTCTGTCCTTCATTCCTTTCATTTTTCCCCTCTAACTTCTGCTGCTTTTAAAATTAATATGTTTGTAATTCTGTGTTTAACATAATGAACCTATTGTTAGTGGAGGTCTAGTTAATGTCTTTGTTTATTTTTCTTTCATATAGAAATTATTTTCACTAGACACTTATTTTTTTTAATTGTGAAGCTCCTAATTTCCGAATGGAACCAGTGACAGCCCTGGGTATCCTCTCCCTCATTCTCAACATCATGTGTGCTGCTCTGAATCTCATCCGTGGAGTTCACCTTGCAGAACATTCTTTACAGGTAACTTGTTTTTTTTTTTTTACAGTTTAAACTGAAGGACATATGATGGAAGAAACTGATGAGGATACATTTTATTTATAAGGTTTTTGTGTACTGAGGTTTTAAAATTTTTTAAATTCAAATAAAACTTTGTCTAAAACTTTATTCTTTGTAGTAAATTGAACAAATATGAAAGTTGCTCTTTTGTGTCTGTTGTTCTAAGAAGCCAGAGGGGCCTGCTGGGATATTGGTAAGAAATGGACAGCAGCTTGCTACAAGGACATTAGGCTACGCTGTGGCCCTTGGGACCCCAGGAGTCACTCCAGGGGCTGGGTTATTTACCCCAGGGCAAAAGTTTGATTCTCAGACTTTAAAGTTCAGGCTCTTTTTCCCTGGGAAAAGGTTGTCTCATAGTCCAGTTTGTGTAATGCAGATGCCACCTTCCTTGTGTCTTCGTCAAAGAACTATTTCACTAGGAAGTTCCTTGTTGGCCTGCTCATCTCGAAGCAACTTTCTATTTCAGTGCTTTTTTTAAAAATAGTTGTTTTAATTTTGAAGTATTTCAAATACTTTAAAAAGGTATAGAACCATTATCAGCATAAACAGATAGTCATTACTCATGCTCATACCCATGCACGTGGTGGCTAAAGTCTGAAAAACGTGGCTGATGTTGAACCTCAGGAAACTGATGTAGACTGACCTGTTTGGAGAATGGCAGCAGACCTGTGTTGTAGGAGTGGTAACTGCCTATTACCACACATCCTGTCTTTGGCCAATGTGTGGTATGGTTTCCACTCTTATTGTTAATGATTACTCATAACCTGATACTTACCAGCTATCTGTTTGTGTATACTAGAATAGGTGCCTGGCCGACAAGATGGTTAAGGCATAGTTGCTGCCTTGGGGACTCTCGTGGCACAAAGCAGAGTGTGGTGGCAGCACTAAGGAGGTGGCAGTACGTGGGGGTGAGAGGAATTAGAGAAAGCTTGATGTTAACAGTTGAATAGGATTTTGGGAGGTACAGGGATAGGGGGCTCATTCCAGGTGAAGATTTAGCATAGACGCATGGGGACAGGATGGCACATGGTGTGTGCAGGCCATTGAAAATGGTTGCATGCTAACCCTTATCTGATACATAAGCGGGGACTTGTGTTTCACCCAGCCAGAAATTCTCATTGTCAACCATACCAAACTGAAGGAGTAAAGTACTTCATGTTATAATGTTTCCTTTTATCTAAATATTCCTTTCCTTGTGTTCTTTATGTTTGTTTTAGGTTGCCCAGGAAGAGATTGGAAACATTCTGGCTTTTCTTATTCCTTTTGTAGCCTGCATTTTCCAGGTGGGTGAAACACTGATATTTTGGTAAGTGGGTTCAACCCATGGCCTTATTTTGTTCCTCTGTTGGAACTATCAGCAAATTTTAGATCCCATTTTTGTTTCACCAAAGTCTTGGTTCAAATCATGCACAGTACCAAGCCCTTCTGCAGCCTGTTAGGGACCAGGCCACAGAGCTCTGCTGCTCCCCCACCATCCATGGAAAAATTGTTTTCTGTGAAACTTAGGAATGGGGTTGGGGGGAGGGTGGGGGCCGCACAGCAGGAGGTGAGCGATGGGAGAGCTTCATCTGTATTTACAGCTGCTCCCCATCATTCGCATCACTGCCTGAGCTCCACGCCCCACCCCCACCCTGTCCGTGGAAAAATTATCTAATTGTCTTCCATGAAACTGTTCCCTGTGCCAAAAAGTTGGGGACTACTGCCTTGGTGGAAAGACCTTATGCCCATCCTGTCCAATCGTCTCATTTTACAGAGGAAGAACTTTGGGCTCAGAAAGGGAAAGCCCCAGGGCCATTGACAGCAGCAGAACAGAAACCAGGAGTTTGGATTTGACTCCCCAGAAAGGAAGGATGAGATCGCAGTGGGGATTGAATTGGGCCTGACTAGTGTGAGGCAGGGTGTTGCCTTGTGCTTATTATTAGGATAGTCCAAGTGCAGAAGTGTCCTTCTGTAGAAGTAACATCTATGTGTACGTGTTTTTTTAAATATAGAAGTAGGTAAAAAAACTGCTGGGTTTTTTTATAGTAATGCCGTCTGACTCAAATCCATCTCTTAGGAATTAAAATAACAATTAGAACATTAATTAGAAGGCTTTGATTATTATTTAGTTATTTTCAAATAAGCTATGTACTATAAAGGGTGGCATAAAGAGGAACTTTTGAGTCCCTCATAGGTACAGTTAATTTTAGTAAGAACCTGTCTCTAATTCTCCTTCCTTGTCTTCCACATGGGCTAGGATTTTAGTACTTTCTCTGCATGCATAAGCTTTTTTCTCCTTTTTTTAGAATTAAAATTTCTGTTCTTAGGGCACTTCCCTTCTCTTCCACATACTTCCTAGAATGGTTTCTTTTTAAGAATTGCCCAATTATGCAAAAAAAAATTTTCAACCCAAGATTGAAAATGCACTCATCTTTTAGAAAACAAGTCCCTAAAACTTTGAGTGTAGCCAGTGGCAGTGTCCTAGAGCTGAGTTTCAGGGCTGCAGGGACCTTACAGTTCCACCTCCTTCCCTCAACCGTGTTCCTGCCTGGATAACTCCCTCCCATTGTAGCTCGAGACTTTGTTGGGCTGCTCTGTGTTCTGAGATTGGGCTGTTTTTTTTTTAAACATTGAACCCAAATGCCGTTGCCACCTTTTGCGGAATAAGAATAGCCCCTTTTCTATGTGATAGCTCTACACAAAATACCAGTCACTCTACCTGCTGTGCAGAGACCTTTCCCTGACTCAGAGATGCTTTCAAAGATGTGATAAAGAGAGTACCCAAGGGAACAGTGGTACTCAGTGTAGTTGTGACTCAGGAGAAACCAAAACAGTAAAAGCACAGCCTTCTCTCAACAGCTTGCTTTCCTGTCATGGCTCCCTGAAGGAAAATTTCACTGGGAGGCCAGTCACTCTTGTTAGGGTCTCCTGGCCTGGCTGTCTGCCCCATACCCTGTGTCTCTTCTTTCTCTACATCCCACAGCCTGGGCATTTCTGTCTATATTTCTTAAACTTCTTTCAAACGTGCCATGTACTAATTCCTCCTGTGACACCTATTTCATTTTCTTTCTTTCTTCCAAGTCCTCATTTTCATCCAGTGATTAATAACAGTCTGACCAGTGGGTCCAAGCTTCAGTGTAATGAATTCAATTTAATAAGCTAATGTGAGGGAGATGATGCTGTTCATGGCAGCTCTGGGAGGCGAATCTTGCACCTGACCTTGTGACCATTTTGTTATCTCTGATTGGACTTCCTCTTGTGGTCTCATTTCAGTGTTATTTGTACCTGTTCTACAGTCCAGCGAGGACTATGAAGGTGGTGCTGATGCTGCTGTTTATTTGCCTGGGCAACATGTACCTACATGGGCTGAGGAACCTCTGGCAAATCCTTTTCCACATAGGAGTGGCTTTTCTGTCTTCATATCAGATACTGACAAGGCAGCTTCAGGAGAAGCAGTCTGACTGTGGAGTATGAGGATGACACCGTGTGATGAATGGATTCTTTGATTTTCTTTTGAGGATCATTGTAGGTTTCCCTTTCTGCTTCTCGACTTCACCTCAAGTTTCATCCTTGAAATTTCTTTCAACAAAACTGGATGGACAAACCAAGAATTGGGAATTTTTAACAGTTGCTGTGGAAGTCGTGAGGTCGCTTGATACCAAGTTTTGGTTTTGTGTCAAGCGTTACAGCAGAATCTCCAGTTCAGCTGGTTTACATAGGATAGCAGACTCTAGGGGCTCATTCAGAAAGAGCTTTATTAAAAGATCAGAATGGAAATATTTTGGTCTTTTATATTGAATGATGCAATAACCCACTAGATTCAATAACACTAGTTTTAGTAATTGGCAGTTGTGTCTGAGGAACCACTTTAAAATCCAAATCAGCTTTTCAATCTAAATATGACTATTTTTTTAGAAGGTCAGTACAGGGTGAATTAAAAACTTAATGGTTCATAAATGTGGTTATGAACTTAGTGGTTCATAAATATAAGCTAGATAAGTTTTGTTTATCTTTTTTTTAATATACTTTTGGAATATTTAAATATATTTTGGATATAAAGTGAACTTCATTTAGGTGGGAAGACAAACTTAAGCTGAGAAAGTGGTTAAGAAATTTGAGTTTAATTTATATATAACCTTTTATGGTGGTAGGACTGTGTAGGTACAGAAATGTTTTATATTTATTTGCAGGGTATATCTGAAGTTTTAAAGAATTAACTGAATAACCACTACGGCTGGATCATAAGCTTATAAGCATGAGCAGAAATGAGAATTTCAGGATTCCTTACAGTTGGCCACAAACTGGAGTAGGTGGATGCCATGGATTCAGTGGCACTTCACAGGCCCGCTTGGGAGAGGTGTCATCAGCGTTTTCAACATAGCTGAGTGCCTGTCATTTTAAAGATGACGAGTACTTTTCCCATCTACTGTTCCCAGAGGGCCTCCCAACTTAATTACTCCTGTACATCTTTTCCAGTAATTGTGATTAGCTTGAGGGACTCATTTTTTATGAACAAAAGTTAAGTAGATGTTAACTTTTAAAGCTTTATAAAGCTTAATATGTGCTCTGGAAAGTTACTTTCTTTCATTGTCAAAAAATTGATTGATCATAGTTTTCCAGAATATGGTTCTGAATAAGATTCCTTAGGCCTCCAGAATTTTTTTTGTTTTTGAGACAGAACCTTACTCTGTCACCCTGGGTAGAGTGCAGTGGCATCATCATAGCTCACAGTAACCTCAAACTCCTGGGCTCAAGCAGCCCTCCTGCTGCAGCCTCCTGAGTAGCTGGGACTACAGGCACATGCCATGATGCCTGCTGATTTTTCTATTTCTAGTAGAGATGGGGTCTCACTCTTGCTCAGGCTGGTCTTGAACTCCTGAACTCAAGCAATTCTCCTGCCTTGGCCTCCCAGTGTGCTAGGATTACAGATGTGAGCCACTGAGCCTGGCCACACCTCCAGAATATTCAACCTGGTTGTCTCATACGTCTCAGGAGGCCATTTGGGGAGTTTGCCCTTTGGATTGTTCTTGGTAGAAGTCTGGAATCTGATTAGCACAACCACAATTGCGTGGAGTACTTTGGGTTGAGATATATGGTCTTGGTAAATTAAAAAATCCTACTGTGGTAGTTTTTAAAAATGGAAAACCATTGCAAGAGTTATTGAGTAGGTGGAGAAAGCAAGAATGTAGTTTTAGAGAATTCAGTTATATTTGGTTACCACAGCTATTATATTGTTATTGAGCTACCCTGGTGTCATTTTAAGGAAAACTGGGAACTATGTTGGGAAGATGTTGCCGTAGTAACTTTATTTTCTTATAATATAATTTTCTATTTTTAACCAAACATAAAATATCTGGACATGAAAATTATATTGACAGTATCCTCAGATGTAAGTTCCAAAGTTGTCTCTCCATTGATTACGTATTTGCATAATTTTCTGCATACCTGGCAGGTGAATTTTCAGTCTTTCTGGGAGACAATTTTGAAGAGATGGTAGAATAGAATGGGAACCCAAGGAGGGGAGAAAAATTCTTTTAAATTAGAAGCACAAAAAAAGCTCTAAAAGTTGATAAGAACAGCTTAAAAATGTATCGTTTTCTTTTTAAGCCTGTGTTGTATTGGTGTTGCCCTGTTCCCCCAATGCTTTGGGGTTCTGAGCCTGTGATCCACATTCAGCAGATAGTAAAGACAAGACTTGAAGATGAGTCCTTTGTGGTGAATGCTTCTTGCCCACTGAGGCCCTGGTGGAGAAATTATCCACACTTGATTGAATGTGATCTTAATCAGTTCACATCTACATAGGGTTTGAGATTTACTTTTGTAAACAAAAGGAAAAAGATGCACTAGAAAAGCAGCACAAGTAATGACCACAAAAGCATTGTTTAACTAAAATCTAGCTAAAAGAAGCCCCAACTTAACTAGAGGAAGAGATTGATGATAGGAAAGGAGTTCTTGTGATTTCATCCAAGGGAAATCCCAGGCTTGGGGTTAACTTGGTTTAGGGTTGGAGGTTTGTAGCCCGTTGTGTGACCCTTGATGTCAGAAAGCTGGTTCCAGATCCCAGGAGTCCTCTTTACTCCACCATGGACTTACTGTAGTTCTAGCAGCTTTGTTTTCCTGGTGGTTAAATGCTTCCTGCCCAACTGACCGCTAGATCTGGAAATAGATGAAATCATGTTGAAAACAAAGCTTTAAAGGTAAGGTGCCTACTGGTATCAGATACTACAAGATCTTGAGCATCAGAGTGTGTTAAGTCCCATCTGCTATATTAGGGTCAGAGCGTGGCTCAGCTTGCTAAGGCAGGGTTTCCCAACCAAGGGAGCCAAGCCCAAAGGGTTTCCCCTTTCCCAGGTATCCTAATGAAGGAAACATGTAAATTCTGGCTTTCTTTTCCCTAGGCTAGCCCTATTGTGACGAAGACTATACCTGGCTTTCCTTGCCCGGGTGAAGACAGCTGGGGCACACTTGGGGCACATTTCCTCTCAGTGCCAGAGACTCCACTGCCCGCAGCAGGAGCAATGTTACCATAGGCTCCCTGTTGTGCATCCTGTTTTCTGTGAACTCTGTTGAAACGCATCGTGAACCAAGGCCCAACATTTTAAAGTTCTTCAAGGGGTGCTGAAAAGGGTATCGGGAGAAATGCTGAAATTAAAACATTTAATCATTTTGATCAGCCTCAACTTGAGCTCCTCTCTTCTTTCATAGGTGCTCCCGTTCTCCAGCTCTCCTAACTCTTTCCACCGCAGCCCTACCCATTCCAGCCCTGGGGACAGAGGCTGAAACTGGAGTCTCTGGAGGGACGGGAAAGCCACCTTTAGTTGTAATTGATGGGGCGGGTAGAAGAGCTTCAGAGTGGGAGCAGATTGCATTGAGGCCCAACCCCGCCCAGGATTTAGGTCTTGCAGAGGAGGAGCACTTTGGTGGTCAGCACTGTTCAGAGTCAAGGATGACAGCCAGAAGGCCAGCAGCAAGGCCAGCTGTTTGGGGTGCCGGAAGCAGAGGATAGGTAGGGAGCAGAGCTGGAGGCTCTCTCTGCTGGAAGATAGCAGCTGCCCCTTAGCATGTAGGGGCTGCATGCTGCACCTTCATCCAGGGCTGCTGTTTGCTGTTCCTTAGAGGAGTTGGCCACTTACTGTTACATGCAGGACAGTGGCCCTCAGACAGCCCACTGCCTGCTTGCACAGGGCTTCGCAAGTGAGGACAGGCAGGGACGGGAGTGCTTATGGTGATCAGATGTGCTTGGCAAACCCCTGTTCAGACATTGCTCACATTCCAAGTGTTCCTGCACGAGTCCTACACAGGTCTGGGGAAGCACTACCTGCGTACCGTGAGTTAAGGGTGGAGGAAGAGAAAGTAGATGTGGCCCTGAGAGAGGTAGGGGAAGGAGTACACTGGTCAGCTGACCTTATGGCCTGGGGATTGGCTTGGCCCTTCTACTCAGTCCTGCGTCACAGTGTTAGGCAGGGACCAAATCTGCAGGTGCAGACACAGGCCAGGAGGGCGGTTCCTAGGGGCGGAGAAGCCGGGAAAGGGACTGCAGGAAAACGTAGCTAACGACCACAAAGAGCAGGAGCTTGGGCTTTGAGGCATACACACCTGTGGAGCTGCAACTTTTTTTTTTAACTTATAAAATCATTTTATTGTAAAATAAAACATAGATATAGAAAGACACACAAAAATAGAGACTATTATGACTCAGTAAAATTTTTTATAAGGTACACGCCATACAGGTCAAGAAAGAGACCTTGCCAGCCATCCCAGAGACTCCTTCCATGTAACTTTGTTATAAGAACACCTGTCAATCATGTAAATCAATCATCTGGTAACATCCCGCACCTCCCGTAGGCCTTCCCCTGGACCAGGCTAATAAAAGGAAACCACCTGGGTGTCCTTAGCATCTTTCTCCACTCATGGAGACTGACCTGTTCCTCTCTGGAACGTACTCTCGCTTTGTATAGCTCTCTTCTTTCCTGCAATAAAAGCTGTGTGTGTGGAATTGCTTCCTGTCTGTGGTCACTCCCTCACACTGGCCCTGCTTGTGAATTTTACAAGCAAAGGAACCAAAGAACCAGGACAATAGTCTGCCAAGAGGCTGGACCTGACAACAGTAGGCAAGTCAATGCCCATCTGGCCTCTGTCCTCATTTGGGAAATGGTGACATCAGTGTGCTTCCCTGGCATGCTGTTATAGGGATCAAAAGTGGTAGTGGAGGGGAATACTGGGTCAATGCACTGTTTGTGTGCTTGAGAAAGGCTTTGAGTTCACTTGTTACACACAGGTTCTCTAGCATGCTTCAGGCAGCATAGCATAGCCACGTCTTCTGGCCTTTACAAAAAGGTGTTTTATGATACTGCAGTGTAAACAGCCTCATTCTTTCACTCTAGAAATGTAGTGGCCTCTCCTTCCTCCTGGACCTGCCTCCCACTTCCTGGGCACAGAGCCCGCGGTACCACTGGTGTTCAGTCTACTCCAGGATCCAAGGAGGCCGGTTCTTGTGGTTGGACCAAACCTCAAGGTCCATCCCTGACCCAAATGAGGAGCACTCTGATTCTCCCATTCTGGGAGCATGATGTCAAACTTCTGTTGCTGGGGAAACCTCATCAGCAGGGAACCTGTGGAAAAGGACTTGTCAGTAAAATCTGAGAATGGCTGGATATGGAAACATCTGCCCATGTGTACCGATGGCAGAGCTGTTGCTCACAAGCGCCTTTTATTTAGGGTAAAATTAAAAAACCCATTCCATTCCTTCAACCCCTGCTAGGTACATATGACCTTCTTTAACCCTTTCATTTGTATGATTCTGGGCTTGCTTCAGAAGCATTATTTAATGAGTTATTCCCGTGACTTGACCCCCAGGATTCTATTTTGTTTAATGGACCTTCTATTAAGAGCATACAATAGTGAGGCCTATTTAGTCAGGGCAAAACCATTTACTGCATATGTTCATTTTGCATACTTGCTGTCCATGCCACACAAGCTTCCTAGTGTTTTCATGTAACAGCATAGATCTATTTTGAGTAAATTATGGGTATGTTTTGACAAACTTTTGAAGAGTAGTAAAACTTAAACTTGTGTAAATGTATGTAAAGAACATTGTATAGCCATTTATATCCTATGTACATATAAATAAATGATGTGGCTCCAGAAGTGGGAGGAGAATAAATCTAAGGCGTTTATTAACATGCACCTGCATGAAAAATTCTGAGTTCTGCGTCCTTTTTGCTAGATGGTATGATGCGGGGCCGCCATAATGGGAGGGGTTGTTGAGAGAAGATCTTCTCGTCCAGTGAAGTCCAGACAGGTGCAAGGGTTCAGATAGCCGTTAGCAGTAACCCCCAACCGAAAGAGCAGTCGCGTCACTGCACTAGGGGCTGGGAGGCCTGCTTCCTTTGCAGGCTCTGCCTCTGCCCTGCTGGGTGCCCTGGGCAGGCATGCTCCCTGCTCTGGGCTTCTGGCTGTAACTAACGGTGGTGAAGTTATCTCCCAGGACCAGCCTGGTCACAGGATGACCACCAGGAGGCGCAGCTGCTGGCCACATCATCAGGTTCCCAGCCCTGGGGCCTGTGTCATTTTGCAGAGGCTGTTCGTGTAGCAGCTGATAAGATTCCCAGAAAGGAAGCAAATACACCATCCTCTCCTGACTATCCTCTAAACACACTGGGGAATTCATACTCCAAGTATCACTGTACCATCTGTCCTGAGTCAGAATCTTTTAGAGGAAGGCAACAACTTCTGAAATCAACATCTGATTACTGGGTGCTGGGATTTGGGAGTTGACAGAGCTTCAGGTACCATCTGGTTCAACCCTCTTGTTGCTCAGGTGAGGAAGCTGAGCAACAAGAGGAGGGAGCCAGTGACAGTACAGCCCAGAGCTCCGTCCCCCATGAACAATGGGCAGCAGCCACAAAGAATGAAAGGGGGCTGGGTGCCGTGACTCACGCCTGTAACCTCAGCACTTAGGGAAGCCAAGACAGAAGGATCACTTGAGGCCAGTTCAAGACCAGCCTGGGCAGCATAAACAAGACCCTGTCTCTACAAAAAGTGAAATAAGCCAGGCGTGGTGGCATGTGTCTGTAGTCCCAGCTACTCAGAAGGCTGAGGCAGGAGGACTGCTTGAGCCCAGGAGTTCAAGACTGTAGTGAGCTATGATGGTGCCACTGCACTCTACCCGGGTGACTGAGGGAGACCCTGTCTCAAAAAAGAATAAAAGGTGATTTGGGCCCATGGAGGTGTCCTTTCTGTGCCCGGAGGACTGGGGAGGAGTTCAGGCTAATGTGTTGCCTTCTTTTTTCTTGGGCCCTACCCCTTGAAGGGGACCAGGTAGCAAAGGTGCTGCGTGACAGCTGCCAAGCATCCTTGGGCAGTGTCACTGGAGGAGAGGCTCAGAGAGGAAGGGGCCGCCTGAATGCACCTGGCTGGGAGACCCTGCCTGGCTCAGCTGAGTCAGCTCCTAAGATGTAGCTGGATCAAATGTGAAAGGCAAAATCTATAGAGTTCATCAAAGAACTTGAAGAATACCTTTGTGGCCTGTGGTGGAAAAGGACTTTTTGAATGAAAATGTCACAGGCATAACCCTTAAGGCAAAATGATCGATGAATTTGGTTATATATAAATAAGGATTTCATGGGCAAAATTAAAATAATGGGGGAAGATATTTATAATGCCTGAAGGGATTAATGCAGAAGCAATTCCTGTAGATCAGCAAGAAAGAGGAATCCAAATAGAAAAATGAACAATGTACAGAAAAGCCAAAAAAGCTAATAAGCATATGAAGAGATTTAAAATCATTACACGTACAGAAATACATATTAAAACAATAGTTTTAATCTTTTAATAGTTTTAAATAGTTCTATGATATTTTATGCTTCTGAGTTTGGCCAAACCTGCAAAGCTGGATGGCACCAAGCATAGGAGGGAGTGTGGGGCTGTAGGACCCCGTGCGCAGCTGGTAGTGGTGGAGAGGCACAGCCCATCTGCAGAGCCCTGCTCCTGGGAGGGGCTGAATTGTGTCCCTCCCGAAAGTCCCGTGTTGAAGCCTAACTCTAGACCTCAGAATGTGACTGCAGTTGGAGACAGGACCCTTTAAACTGGGGGATGGACATGCTTGAAGCTCTGACTCGGGTGGGGCAAGGGCAATATACATAAACTAAACATTTGCACCCCCATAATATGTTGAAATAAAAAAAAATTAAAAAAAGAGGTAATTGAGATAAAACAAAGTCCTATAGGTGGGCCCAAGTCCACTAGGACTAGTGTCCGTAAGAGATTAGGATGCAGGCCCAGGGCAAAGACCATGTGAAGGCACAAGGAGAAGACAGCCATCAGGCACCTTGATCTAGACTGTTTAGCCTCCAGAATTATGAGAAAATAAATTTCTGTTGTTTTTTTTTGAGACAGAGTCTCACTCTCTTGCCTGGGGCGAGTGCCATGGCGTCAGCCTAGCTCACAGCAACCTCAAACTCCTGGGCTCAGGCAATCCTACTGTCTCAGCCTCCCGAGTAGCTGGGACCACAGGCACAAGCCACCATGCCCGGCTAATTTTTTCTACATATATTTTTAGCTGTCCAATTAATTTCTTTCCATTTTTTGGTAGAGACGGGGTCTCGCTCTTGCTCAGGCTGGTCTCTAACTCCTGAGCTCAGAACGATCCGCCCGCCTCGGCCTCCCAAAGTGCTAGGATTACAGGCGTGAGCCACCGCGCCCGGCCCAATTTCTGTTGTTTAAGCCACCCAGACTCTGATACTTTTTTATGGCAGCCCCGCGAAACGAATACAGCGTACCTGCCCAAATAAAGCATGTACACACCTCGAGATGTGGAAGTTTTACCCCTGGTTATATGTCCCAGGAGAATTCTTATACAGATCCTTAGGGGAACATGTATGAAGATGACTGAAGTATGAAGATGATTGAAGCATCATTTGTGTTGGTGGAAAGCAACCTGTGTATCCATCATGGACAGGTGAAGTATGCAGGCTCACCATGGAGCACCATGGAGCAGGCAGAAGTATCAGATTTAGATGTAACATCACAACATGGATGGATCTTAACAACTCAGAGCTGAGTAAAAAACAATGTTTATATGATTAGAAATATATGCATACAAAATGGTGAAATATTTTGTAAGGATATATGCAAAAAGATACATGTTAAATACACTGGAATGGTTGCCTACAAGGGGCCAGGAACATGAGAGTTAAGTGTAGGATAACAAGGAATTTTTAAAAAAGGTTTCTAGACTCAGCAGTCAGGTCCGAAAGCTCTGGGAGAACAAGATGGGCTGCATTTCCCTTGGGAGATCTTGTCCTGGGTGTTCCAAGCCCTGGAGGAGGCTGAGAAGGTTGGAATTCACGGGGTTCCAAAGCCCCGTGTGCTGTCAGAGCATTTGAGCCTCCCGTGCTGCCCAGGTGTGGGGAATCTGAAGCCGAGGCCACGGGCCGTGTTGTTGAGGGAGGGCTCTGGAGGCCATGGGGGACGTGGAAGGACAGAGAGCAGAGAGGAGAGGACTCCAGAAGCGAAAGCGGGCGGGTGGGAGCTGGCTCTGGCCACCAAGCCACCAGGGACTCTCTCCTCCCCAGATTCGGGCCGTCTGACCAGTAGTTTCCTGGCCAGGACTCTTTCCCACACGAGGCACGCACTCAGCTGAAGGGCTCTCACGAGGATGAGGGACACAGCTGCAGGGGGAGAGAGGTGCCCCCAAGGAAGGCCTTCCTCCCACCCCAGAAATAGCCTGTTCTGGCCACAGATCCCGGAGAGCCAGCCTGGGGAAGCGAAGCTGGAGGCTGGTGGGAGTGGTGGGTGGGTAAAGGTGGCCAGGACCACGATGGCCCTGGGGGGTTGTCCCAGGGACATTTTCTGAGGCCCCAGGGATCAGAGCAAGGGCCAGGGGCAAGGAACACATGGCCAACATTAGAATGAACTTTCTCACAGAGCTGTCCAGCGGGGGCTGCACAGGCAGGGAGTGCTCCACCCGGGAGGTGTGCAAGCAGAGATGGGACGTGTTGGATGGGATCTTGGAACATGCTGTCCCCATCCCGCAGACACTGTCTTGTCCTGAATGCTGGCGCAGGAGGGGACATTTGCCTATCTCCCGCATACCTCCTGTTGCATCCATCCCACAGGGCAAGCCAGACGCCAGTTGCAGGAAACAGCCTGTGCCAGCTCCCGTTTGAAGAGTAAATATTAGTCTTTTCAAGAGCTGCCTGTTCTCTGTCACTTGGCACTGAGGACACTGAGCTGGGGGGGGGGGGCCTCTTGTTCCCCACGCCCAGATGGAGTCTGTGAGCCCAGATCACTGCTGCAGTGGAGGCCCAAGAAACAAGCCTCTCCACGCCCAGCCAGCATCCTCTCCCCATTGCTCTGCCAGCAGTGAGCACCTGAGCCCCTGCTCAAGGGAAGAGGGTTCAGACAGCGCTGAGGCCCCAGCCCCCAGCCCCAGGCTCTCCTCAGATGCTGTCCAGCCTACTTCTGCAGAGGCAGGGGACCTCAAGGCCTCCGAGCCCCAGCTCTGACATACATGGTTTAAAATCCTCTGATTTTCGGGAAAGAGTGGCCTGCTCCTGCTCCACTGCCCACCCCTTGGGGAAGCCTCCTCTGACCACCCCAACTAACAGAGCACCCCCTCACTCTAGCCCTCACTCTGCTTGCTTGCTTCCGAAATTTTTCTCATTTATTATTTTTCTCCATCCATTAGAGGGTCAGCTCCATGAGGGCAGGGGCTCTGCCTTGTTCTCCACGGTATTCTGAGTATCAAGAAGTGCACACAGGAATTATTTGCTGAATGAACATAATGACAGTAATATTTTGAAAACATTAAATAGTATATTTCTCATCCCTCTGCCCCTGAAATTATATCCCTCTGAAGCCACTCCACCATTATGACCCAGGGAAAGGCAGAGAAGGGGATGTCATCTCTGAAAGGAAGAAGCTAGGATGGAGGGGAAGGGAGGGAAGCCCACCCTACAGCTGGTGAAGGGTGGAAAGGAGACCTGGAAGAACCCGCCTGACACGTATCTCAGTCTCATCATCTGGGATGAAATTCTGGGGGGAAAAATCGAAAGCTCAAAATAGAGGGGGGTGTGTCCTACTCTGTGTTTGGAAGACAGCCCCCAGGCCACCTGTGCCCTGTAAGTGCCCCTTCTGGATAAAAATGGTGGAGCTACAGATTTAATGGCCAGAAGGCCTG